ACGACAGATATCCAAACCTGCTGAGTTCCTTAGAGGCACGTATCCACTGCTAGGTAAGCAGCATCGAACAGAAATGCGGAGGAGCCGGACAGATCTGTTCGTAAAGTTTCATATTCTACCTGTGTCTTTTTATACAATTATCGCCTATTTTAACTTACAAGTCATACCTAAAGTCCAATATTATATTAAACTTTCGCTGGCTGATTTCAATGTAAACCACAGTATTCGACATACTAGGCATAAGAAAAAATGGCATGTCCCTACACCTCGAATCAAATATGACGAACAATTGTTAAAACATGACTGTGCCAGTCATACTTAATAAGCTTACAAAGGCCGATTTTGACCCTTTGTGGAACTACAATCAAGAAATAAGACAATTTCGTCAGTCAGGTCACACAGATTCCTATTACTGTAAATAATGTATATTTTTTTCTTTCGTACCGTACCTTCGTGTTTAAGTTGTGTAGAACATGTTACCAAAAGGCGTATGCACGTGAGTATATCGACCTGCTTATTTATACTTGTGTATCGGGTATAAAAATGTAAATCCATAAAATCCGCAATTTCGTTCACAGGCAAATATTTTATTGTCTGTACATATATATATATATATATATGTACAGACAATAATATATATATATATATATATATATATATATATATATATATATATATATATATATATATATATATATATATATATATATATATATAACGATGTATACAAACGTTTTGTTTTTTATTCAAACTGTAATGTTATCGCGTATTACTTTGTTTTTAATGTGTCGCTTATACTTTCTCTGCAATGTGTTGCTGTCATTTGTAAATGGGGCAGGACCTCTGCCAAGATGTGGCAGCTTTTATCCCTGTCCCCTCTCTTTCAAGTCTGAATAGAAATAAAAAGTGAATTGAATTGAATTTGAATAATACATTGTTTGGGCGTGTAAGCCCACTGGAGTAGAGAGGCGCGATGTGAGGGTGAAACGCGAATCCTTTTCTGTAATGTGAACCACGGCCCGTTTAGCGACGAGCACGTGTATAATACTGCTGGCTATACACGCCATCTCCACCCGGGGAGGGGAAACTAGACCGCTTATCATAAAGCCACGTTCATTACATGAAACAATATAAACTACCGAAAACCATTCGTAGTGGAAATTTCAAAATGGAAGTATAAAAGCGCTTTTCTCAGGGAAGGTCAAAGCGAAGAAGTGCATGACGGTGTACTGCAGCTCCGCAATTCTCAATATGCTGTAAAAACTGGGACGCCTACGTAAAAAAGTCACAGCTTTGCCGCAAAGTCGAAGCAATGAACTCGATAGCAACAAATTGGAAGGACACGCGCAGAATGGCAAGCACATTGAAACGTGCCCCGCGTTTCTCACACACAAATGACGCACGAAACGTACTCACAGTTACAGAGTGACGCGAATACACGTCTCAGTTAACACTTCGCTGTGTCGAAAAAGCGCGCCCTTTTCGCTAACGGAAGCTGTGCGATGACTGCAGTGACCTTTGTGCGCCCGGTAACTACAACAAAATCGTTCTGATGGAACCCAAAGGATAGCCAAGACGTAGGATTCTCCCACTGCAAGATAAAAGTGTGTGATCGAGCATACACCCTCTTATTCTCTACGCGGGCCAAAGTACGCGTGAGAGATGTGCGCCACCACGCGCTCACTGCGCCATCTTGCTGATAATGCTGAAAACACGATAGTCCCCCCTTCCTCCCCGAGATGCCCGCTAACATTGGTAAGTGGTAGATATGAATAGCTTGCCGTTTGTTCGCCCAAAGAAGTACTGGTTAACGCCTCGCATTCACGACGCGCAGGTCCCACGTTCGATTCCGCGCGCCACGGTCTTTTTCCTGAGATTTTTTTTTTGTTCGTTCTAGCGTTTTCATATATATAGATACGTAAACCTATACGGTGCAAGACATTGACGCCCATGCCGACGCCGGCGGCGAAATACAGCCGAGAGTGTTCATATATTTGCTATCGCAATAAAAATCACCATCTTTTACATAACTGTAACAGCCATCGCGACGTTGGTTTAGAAAATTTTATTATCTCTGATAATCCTATTTATGTTCTTATGGCAATAATACAAGCTCACCTGCACCAGATAAAATAAATTAATTGTTCCGTTGGTTGAACCTGACCTCAAAATCATAGCTCGATCTCGTGGGACCCATGTCACACTTGTATATAATTCTGCAGCTTTAGTATGTCATTTCTAAAAATGCATTTATTCTCTGTGCGCGATAACGTGTAGAGCCGTCATTTTTATGAAAGGGAACGCGTGAGTGCGTGGTCTGCGCGCTCCAGCGGCTGCTTGCAGCACGCTCCAGCGTCAGCAAGAGCAATCACTGCCTCTTTTCGCGTCATCTAGTGGTGAGCAAAACAACGAGTCACTATTCATATGGAACCAGCAGCAAGGTTTCAACCCTCTTCATGGAGATTACGCATAATCACCTTGAAGAGAGGAGAGGTTGAAATTTTGAAGTTTTTACAACAATGAAATCTGTACACATAGTGGAGCGCGTGCATACAAAAACAAAATATTGAGCCGTAAAGACAGTAACACCGGATTGTCTTCCGGTGTGCGCGAGCCGGCCCCATGTGTCTCGGTGCCACTTATCGCATTCTTCTTCTCGTTATACTTGTGGTACGGGCTAAGGTACCTTTATTTTTTTTCTTTTTGCCACGAAACAAATGTTTGAATATACACGCGTATGCAAGAGCGTGCGGGCAGCAGAGAATACATAAAAATATATTGAAGTACGTGAATGGTCCAGTAAGGTGGTCTCATAGTCAGTGCATCGTTGTAAACGGGCTGTGAAGGGTATTTATGCACTATAAAAAATTTACACCCTAAAAGGTGTAAAAGGGGTGTACGCACTGAAAGCACCCATATGAACATCCTTTTACGCTCCGATTTTTAAATTTGAGGTGTTCATGAATAAAACACCCTTAAAACATCCCATTTACACCCTTACATTTAGGTTGTTATGAACAAGGCTACAAATGATTGATTGATATGTGGAGTTTAACGTCCCAAAATCACCATATGATTATGAGAGACGCTCTAGTGGAGGGCTCCGGAAATTTCAACCACCAGGGGTTCTTTAACGTGTACCCAAATCGGAGCACACGTGGCTACAAGGCTACAAATGCACGACATTTTCGGGCAGTTTTGCTTATACTGTTAGTATACTTTAACCATCTTGACACCGACAAGGCTACTACTGCTAGCTGCTTGCGGATCTAGTAATGAATCGAAGCAGGAAGTGTTGTTACGGAAACGCAGTTTTCATCAATAAAGCACGCAAACAACTGAATATCACCGAAACAGGCAGATTAAGAGACTACAAAACAAAGCACAACGCCCAGTCCTAGACTTCCTTAGATGCTTCGGTAGTTATATTTTGTAATATTATTTTTTGTGAGAGAACTTCGAATCTTCACTTGCGGCCATCCTTAGGTGTCACTTATTTTTCTTATATACGTAAGCTCTTCTCATGATAACAACGTATTTCCTGGTATGGTTAGGCGACAACTTTCCGACAGAGGCCACATAAATCTTCCGATCTGTATAACTTCAATTCTAGAAAATCACTAAAGAGCAAAAGATACAGAATGTTTACAAATTTATTAAACGTTTTTGTACTTTGAGCCTCGCGTAGTTTCCTGAAAAAAAAATGATGTGGCAGTTGCATACAGTCGACAGTTTTTAAAGGAGGCACTTCAGCTCTATTTGTCGACGTTGGCAGCATTGTCCGTGCTAGAAACTTTTGAACAATCCATTTATTCACTTTGTGAGGCCACGTACAGGAGTTACTTGCCACTGATCTGCAAAGAAATTGGAAGAAGAAAAATAAAATGGTGTTTTCTTATGACAGTCACCTGGTACTACCGTTTTTTTTTCTTGTTGTCATTGGCATAAATTTGCAAAATTACCAAACTGGAAAAGATATACGCAGTTTCCTCAAGGGAAGATAATAAGACAACATACCTGCAAGACCTTTGAATTAGGTCAAATGGCACAAGACTATACTTAAGGTCATGACGACCACGTCTAAATGAGGGCGAAATTCAAATAACACCACTGTTCCTATGAAAGTGTGCCTCTAAACACACCAGGTGCTCAGAATTAATTAGGAGACTACCACTAATTCACGTCTTATATTTTTATCGTAGTTTTAACACTGAAAACTACGCCACTCCTACATTTCGGTGCTTTATCTGTGGAACTACAAACGGTAGGAATGCGTAATGTGACAGCTCTCAAAAAATCACTCATACACACAACGTAACTATTATTTCATGATCACCAATCTATTGCTGCAATAATTAGCTAAATCAAACTAACCCAGCAAGGTTAAAAAAACTCTACTAGTCGCAAGGAAATGTGGTTAGCGAGTGACGCGCAGCATAGACCTTAAGATATAAATAAAGATATATAAAGTTTCGTCGACAGCATGAGTGACTTTTCTATCCTTTTTTCTATCTAACTTTTATTCTCCTTACCCCTTCTCCAGTGCAAGGTAGCATACCAGACTCAGCAATGGTTAAACTCCCTACCTTTCTTTCATCTTTATTCTCTCTCTCTATCTCTGGCTCGCATGCGCGTGTTTTGAGATGCTGAAGAACAAACGCTATTTTAAACCCTTTCCCAACCCTAATATGAAAATCCTAAACAGGAGTCTTCAAGATTGGAACTGACGGACTGACTGACTGACTGACTGACTGACTGATTGACTGACTGGCTAATAAATATTTAACCAAGTAATAACTAATGAATGAAAGCATGAACGAACTGAATAACCTAAATAAATATTATTGTACGTACTCCTTCAGGTGTGAAATGCAACAATGGGAACAGAAACAAAGACAAATTCTAGCCAGACCAAAACAACTTCATGACATGAGGGTAGCAGAGCAGCTTGAGCGTTCGCGCCTGCGTGAAAAGCAAAAAAGAGCGTTGAGGACACTTACATCTACCGGTCGTCCCGATGTCGAGGCACCTGTCCGAAGCATTGCGACGCTTTTCGCGCGATGAACGCGCCTTGAAGAAGAACTCGGCGAAGGCGATGAGACAAGCCAGACCAAGTCCGGCAAGCAGTACGACGAACACGCCGCCCACCTTGGGCAGGCCTAGCTCGCTCACCGCGTCGGTCCTGGACGCCGCCTGGTCGTCAGGACATCGCCTCACTGGGTCCTTGACCTTCCACCAGCGGTCCTTGAGCGTTTGTAATATCCCGCTTTCTTGAAGACGTAGAATAGTTGATGAGAGTACGCTGCGGTACGGTGAACCTGCGTTGGAAGAAAGGACCCAGCTTGTGATGGCGTGTCATCAACGCGATGCTGAAATCGAAATAGTGCGAGTAGCTGTTCACGACTCCATTTTCATCGCACCTTCCACGCGCACCTAAACATATTTGTTTCTGTTAGTAATTACAAATGCTTTGTAGAAATATTGCATTTCTAATCTTGGGAATGCCTTCCACACAAAAAGAGTACTTCCGAACCTTCATTACAAGGGAGCCTGAATTAAGACTACGCTGCCTAACGGCTATGCTGGAAGCGTATTCATGGAGCTACGCATAGGAAAGAACCCTTTAACAATAACATTACCTGCAGGTGTTTTCTAGGTCACAACAACCTTGTTAATGACCCATGCCGTAATTGCGGACTACGTATCAAGTACACTCTAAAGACTGTGGAAGGTTTTGCAAATGTGATAGAAACGCAAAGTGGTGTTCTACTTTCGCAAAGCATCGAATAAAGTGAAATGCGTTTTCACTCTGTATGAAAAGAGAGAGTGAAACTGCTTTATACACTACTTCTCTTGGAGCGAATGGAATTCACGCATACTCCTAAAGCATTGCAGAGTGAAAACTGGTTATACTGACGCTCCTAATCTATATGTGGATGCGCCTGCACACTACGAGTGGACTATCACTACTTATACCCGACCATATATGCAGTAAAAAGTATTTTATTTCTTGTTGTGGCATTAAAGACAAATACTACAAAGAACAGCGCTTTTAACGCTTCTCATTGACTTTTCGTGCACTCGGAGGCACTTGAGTAAAAAATCGGTGTTTCTCGCTGCGTATTTATGTAGTTATATAAGATAATATCAGCTCATTAAATCGGTCTTCTCGAAACTAAATTGAAACAGATAATACTTTATTGTTATTTTGTATTTCATATTTCTCGCTATGAACGTTAAACAGAGAGGATGCTTCCTAATAAGCCTAATGTATGGCAAAGCTACAGCGAAGTATTGTTGCTTTAGTCACACGAGTTGAACAAGAATGACCGAAATTGTATCAAGGATGACGAAAACGACATTGTGTCAGTGTGTAGTCCAGAAGTGCGATGTTTCTTACACACATAAATGGATAACCCATTAACGAGTCAGTTCGAGTGCCACACAAAACTTTGGCTACGCTAATCTTTGTATACAGCGAAACAAGTCAGATCGACGTTGCCACCCTGCGAGACACAAAGCAAACACATGAATTACAATCTGTTAAGTTGTCGCGCGTGCTGAAACACTCAAATATGCATATCTAAATTAGAAAATGTCAAGACACATTATGGGCATTACTTGTAATATGAAAAAACTAAGGCATAAGAGCACTTCGGGTGAGGTTACTCTTTTCAGGTTAGGTACCTTAAACCTTTCTGGGGGAATAGATAAACTTTGCCTCAAAAAAAAAATGTGATTTACTCTGGGAATGAGAGTGAAAGATGGGACAAGAAAATACTCTCCCAAAAATAGTGCAGCACTCTGGTATGTAGTTCTTAGAGTCTAGAGTTCCTTATCATGCACACAAATCTTCAAACATGGGTATTCTTGTCATTCACTCTCGTGGTAATGCAACTGGCATGGCTAGAAGTTCAACCCATGCTCTGTATATTCAGAGTGCCACAATAAATTTGTTATTCACCACCAGGGGATCATTCCAGCAGACCTTCAAATTAGGTGGCCGCCTGGCAAGAGTTCAGTTTCAAATTTTCGTTTATTTCTGTTTTTTACCAAACCAGCGATTTTCACCATACGAGATGCTAGTCAGCGCATGCACAGTTACATCTTCTTGCCTGTTGGTAGTTGCAAAAATGTTGCTTCTTGAAGTTTTTGACACGTGTTTTTACGATTGAAAGCAGCATTGTCACAAGCATTGTGACTTTTGACGTCACTGCAGATTGCGTTTCTAGCCCACTGGTCTCCGAATAGTGACATAACGATCAATCATGCATACAAACAGTGCAACGGGACGGCAATCTTTAGTCTAACTGCCTACATAATAGTCGGCAAATTGTCTTCACGGCAGCCAGTAAATAAGGCTGATTGATATTCTTTTATATATAGGTTATTTTAGGGACTCTGCTACACTTTTGAGCCAAGGTCAGAAAACACAGTCGATCGGTAGTTGAGGCTTCCGAAAATAAGCGACGCAAACAATAAAGCGCAATTTTGCCCAAAAATTTTCAAATAAATCTCAAAGTCAAGCTAGAAATCGCTCCATATTCTATCTGCGAATGAAACCGTATACGAAATTATGGTATATGGAGCGATCACTGTAATAGTAAGCCGAACGTTGGGAGAAAATCTAAGTGGTGTTAGTGGTTTTCACAGCATACACATGGAGTAAACTATGATGAGTGGGAAGCGTCTGTCCGTGTGTCCGTTCATCCGCGCGTCCATTCCGCACCCTTCCATTCATCTGTACGTGCTGGCCGTCCGGCTCTTCGGACGCAAAGACGGACAGACACGGATGAAAAGATGGATGAAAGCATGGACGGACAGACGGAACTACTACGCATGTCCACTGCAGAGCAGAAAACTCTCCATGACCGCAATAACTTGGTCTTGTGCTTTCCGGCTGTCACGTTATAGCTGCGAACTTTTTAATGTCATCAGCCCACTACATTCTGCATCCCTTTCGAGCACTTGCCTCACTCAGAATTCAGCCAGTTATCCTTCATACGCACAGTGGTTATCCTGCCTACGTGGCACGTACCCGGCCCATGTCTATTTCTTCTTAATTTCAACCAATATATTCTTTACCCGGCTTGGTTCCTGACCAACTCTTCTCTCTTTTTGTCTCTTAAGGTTGCTCCCATCATTTTCATTTCTATCGGTCAATGCGTCGTCCTCAATTCAAGCAGAACCATCTCTGTAAGCCTCCTGGTTTCTGCGCCGTAGGCAAGTACCGGCAAAAATATAGCTCTTGATGGTTAGTGGTAGATTATCATACATCATTCGAAAATACTTGCCGAATGAAATCCACCCTTTCTTTATTCTTCTAGTTATTTATTTTCAAGGTTTGACTCAACGGTTACGTCCTGTCCCAAGTAGACATTCATTTACAATTTCCAGCGTCTCTCCTCCTTTCGCAATGTGCTCGTTTCTGCCAAGACTATTGCAGAACGCTTCAGTTTTGTGCATATTAATTTTCAGACCTACTCTTCTACTTTCCGTGTCCAATCCCGTAATCGTGAGCTGTAAATAATCCCCTGAGTAACTGATAAAGGCTATTTCATTAGCTAGTCACAGGTTGTTACTACGATACTTCCCTTTAAGTCTTATTTCTAACTCGTGTATATGTAGGACCCTGAAAAACCACCTGTAAACATGCGGTGACTAGCATTGGAGAGATCGCGTCTCCCTGTCTTACATCCTTCTTTATTGAGATTTTGTGGCATTTTTTGAGGAAAACTATGGTGGCTGTACCTCTTCTGTAGATTTCTTTCAGTTTGTTTATGCAAGGTTCGTCGATGTGCCTAATCCATGCGGCCTGCATTACTGCTCATGTTTCGACTGAGTCAAAAACCTTCTCGTAATCTGTGAAGGCTATGTATAGGAGTCGGTTGTATTCCGTGCATTTCTCTATCAGCTGGTTGGCACTATAAATGTGGTCTATTGGGGAAAAGTCTGGCTGTCCGAAATCCTGCTTGGTCATTTGGTTGATTGAAGTCTAATGTCGCCTTCAGTCTATTACCGATTATTCTTCTAAATAGTTGGTAAACAGTGAATATGTGTTACAGTGTGCTGATCAGCTTGTATTTTTCATGTCCTTGACATCTCCTTTTTTATGCATTAAGATGTTGATGTTCCTCAAGATTTGGTACCTTCCCGTCATAGAGACTGCGTTTGAAAGGTGGCCAGTGAAAAATTTCTTGCTAGGTTTTAGTAGCTCTATTGTACTTATCCTTACCAGCAATTGATTCCCTTTAGGAGTTTCCGTACTTGCCCGGTTTTACTGGTAGGATGTCGAATTTCTCTGAGCTAATATTGCTTCTTGCAATATCTTTCTGATTGTATTTGGTTTTCGTACAGATCTCTGTAGAACTCCTCTGCCACCCCACTATCCTATATATAATTAAATATGACATTTCTTAACTTGTTTATTATGCATACATCCAATTTTCGCCATGCACATGTTGCCCTATCACTTTCCGCTTCTGCCACTTTTTACAGCCTGCTCGATTCTCTCAATGTTATACCTGTTGTGTCGGCTACCTTACGCCTATTGGATAACTTCGAAATCTCCACTAGCTTTATTTGTAGATTGTATTTTACGCTTTCGTGGTTGTCATCTCTTAAGACATTTTTCGTCTCCTCAGATGGTTTGCCAGTGTTCTGTCTAGTGACTGCACCTCCGAATTGTCTTGCACACTTTTTATAATACTAGTAAGATTACTCTTCATTTTATTTATTTTATCAACGCTTCATTTTATCAACGCTAACGTTGGTTACACCGTTCAGAGCCTCGAATATATTCTGAAGCAATACTCTCAATTCCTTTACTTTTTCTCTCACCACCATCTCATGATTGCCTTCTTGTGTATCAGTGCCAGGTATCAAAAATACTTTTCAAATAGACGCTATCTCGTGAAACGCAATAGTGTTTGCAGTATTGCCTACGTAATTTTATAACATGTATTTCTCCTAATGTATTTCTTTGATTACAGCCGTCACGTTAGGTTAACGTCAATTGTGGTAAGTAGCCATGCGCTGAAGTTGATTTATGTTGCAGTGTCCAGGCACAGCATTCTCGCGAGCATGAGCGCTTCAAATCAGGTTGCGTGTGTTGCTAATACGCATGTTTTAGTTGGCATCAGTTGCGCAAGTGCAAACAACAGGCTATAGGAACATCTGCAACTCTTCAACATATGTCTGCGTGTGCAACATTTTGTACATATATTTAGCGTCATTGCATGAATAATTGAATGGTATGTGTTGCTTAACGTCCCAAAACCACCATATGATTATGAGAGACGCCGTAGTGGAAGGCTCCGGAAATTTCGACCATCTGCGGTTCCTTAACGTCCACCGAAATCTGAGCACTTGGGCCTAAAATAGTTCCGCCACCATCGGAAAGTAGCAGCCGTAGCAGCCGGAATTCGATCACTGCGACCTGCGGGTCAGCAGCCAAATGCCTTAGCCACTAGACCACCGCAGCGGGACGTCATTTCACGACGTGTCGCTCAATAAAAAAGTTGCAACACAGTCACCTTCCCTCCGCATGCTTCGCATAACGTTAATTCCCAGGTACGGGGACTCTGCTGAATTTTTCGACATATACCTGAGCACATCGTATCGTTATTTGCGCACAAAGATGACATTAACAAGCACACACTAAGCTCTGTTATTCTCTATGCACGTCTTCAAATATCTTCCGTTATGGAGAGGAACAGCAAGGTGTGCGCTTGTTAAACCTACGCGAGCGGTCACGCATGCAAACTGCGCTTCAGCAACGCGGGACACAAAGGTTTGTAGCTTGAGCCAAGAACGCGAGCCGGCGTTCTACGTCCTGCTGGTCTCAGTAGTGCTCCACCTCGACATTGTCCCTTGCTGCATTGCTTACTGCAGCAGCTTTATTGAAGTAACCACTGCTATCACAAATGAAGTATTCGGTGATGGGGAACGTATCATGCATGTACCATGCGTGTAAAAGCTGCACGACTTCAACATTGAGAGGTTACGCGCTGACAAGAAGCGAGGCTTGACCTCCCAGTCCAACGTGGCATTAGCCAGGCAGGTGGCCCCACCCTGTACAGGACGTATACATAAAGGGTATTTCCAGCGAAAGAAAAAAAAACATAACTACGTCGGTGACTCTCCGATGCTCCTTCGGTCAGGGTTGTTCACTGCTAACGTGAAGATTTAATCATATGCTTCCAAGACTGCATGCCAGTGCACAATCTCGCCATACCATGCCTAAACTGCGTTGTGCTCCATTACTTATTTAAGCACTTACACCATGGCAGCACCTCCGAGGTTCGCCTACAAACAAGCGCGGAGGTTAACGAGAATGTGTGAAAGACATAGGGCGTGTTTCACTACCAAGCCCACGCTTTTGTCTCAACACCTTGCCCCACCGTGGTGGTCTAGTGGCTCAGGTACTTAACTGCTCTGACCCGCAGGTCACGCGTTCGAATCCCGGCTGCGGCGGTTGCATTTCCGATGGAGGCAGAAATGTTGTACGCCGTGTGCTCAAATTTGGATACAAGTTAAAGAACCCCAGGTGGTCGAAATTTCTAGAGCCCTCCACTACGGCGTCTCCCATAATCATATGGTGGTTTTGGGACGTTAAACCCCACAAATCAATCAATCAATCAGTCAATCAAAAATTGTCTCAATACCTTAGTTGGTAAAATGCTTGGTGGTTTTTGCCCGTTTCCCCAAGAGTCAGAGGTTTGATGATCAATGGGAAAACTTCTTGAATGCTTCTTTCTTTCTCACGTGGTGACGTTATTTTTACAACGTCATATCCGCGACAGAAATAAGTCACTGAAGTCTTAGTGGAAACCGGCATAGAACACTTTCATGTTGAAAAAAAATCCAACAGCGTCGTCTTCTGCATTGCAGACATTTTTCAGCGCATTCCTCAAATACAAAGGCATAACTAGATCACACTTGTCCATCTTAGACCTATGCGTTATCAGCCATCCTTCTTAGTGCCGTATCGGCGTGCTCAGTATATCGAGATGCTTGTCGGTGTCCACGTGATATTAAAATGTTTTGCTATTGCACTCATTGCTTTGCCGTAGTGACGAAACCGGTCAATTTTTTTTTCCGCAGTCTTGTCTGTTCCTTAACCTCCTGACAGTAAGGCATATATATACCATTTTGTGTGAAGTTACTTCATAAATAAGCAGTGCAACCATAACTCAAGCTCGTCGTATTATTTTCATATAATAATCTAGTCAATGTTGTGTAATATGTACGTGTACGTTTTACATCAGGAGAAACGATAAATAAATGTTATCACATACCTTGTGGCATCGCAATACCATATCCCTTTGAATCCAGAAGCCCTCTGAGCTGCGTGAGTTCGCACCGACGCTGAGCCACATAGTCTATGCTGGTTGATTCCATCAGAAAGGCGTAGCCTCCACGCTCTACCCGCTCAACGCCCTCGGCGTTGGACGATACCAGGTTGTCTTTCATGACATTCCACATCCTCTCGTATGTCTCATGTTTGGAATCCTGCGCTTAAAGCGTACCATTTGATGTGTGTGTCACAAACACTCAAAATTACCACGCTCGAAAGTGCTGCACAGTCAATGACCAAATTTTTAGGACGTGCTTGCGAAAACGTCGAAACTTCGAGCAGCTCATTCCGTATGAAGTCATCAGGACCAAGCTGTTTCCTTAATATCAATCAGGCTCAATATCCGATTGCTAGTCCACCGATTGTAGAAGCGTGTGGTCGTGTCGTGGTTTCACGACAACGAAAATTGCTTCTAGAACACAATCACAGATGTATGTTACATATATGTAAAATTAACATATACTGCATGAAAATATAGGTATACACAAATTCTGATTTGTAAACACAAATATGTCCTCCGTGCGTAGTATAACAGTGTACATGCATTTTTACTTCGATGTTGCCTGTTGATTTTGCACCTTCACTTTCAAGCCCAGTTCACATGACACTTATGGAATATTTAATCAATAACTTATTAGTACAAATAAATTTTATTAAAGCTGCCTACTGATAATTTTGCTGGCAAAGAATTTCGGAGTTCCGCTCTATGAAACCAAGCAAACAAGAGTGAAGTAAAAAGTTCATGTGTCTGTTTTTCTTTGGTGCTCCGCTTTGGTGGCCCTGTGTTCATCATGAACAAGTAGGATGAACTCTGCAATAATTGTTTTTCATTTTACCAAAAAAATTCGCGAGGCACAAACAACTTTCGCGAAGTTCATGCATATGAACTTTCATTTAAAAACATTAAGCATAAAGTTCAGAAACGAGCTCATACCTTGAAGAAAGCCTGTGTAGATCCAAAGCGGACACAGCCATACAGAACCTCGGTCTGCTTTGCCAAGTCTTCGACGCTTTCTATTGGTGACCGGAGCCTTTCTCGAGTCAAGAAGGACGCCAGGTTGGCGGTGTATGACGATACCAGTAGGAACGAAAACAGCCACCAAGCAGCAACGAGAATTCTTGTGGAGGCTGACCTGCAAGATGTGGTGGTTCATCAGGCGATATTTCTTCCGGAATGGTAACTCATGTAGCTGAATGGGCACTTTATTAAAGACGATAGTCTTTCTTGGGTACCTTCGACGCAGAAAGTTTTGTCTGTTTGTCTGTACACTTGTCTGTTTGTCCACTCCTAACGGCATCAGGTACTTAAAACGGCTGACCTCATCCCCAGCGCCCACCAATGTTGCTCAAGGTAGAGCGTTCATGCTTGTGTAATCGTCAATTAAAAAGCAAATATTGTGTATGTCTGGGGCACCATAACAACACTTATATATTCTGCTTGTGCGTCTTTTAGTAGAAAAGGCATACATAAGTAATTTTAAGTACCGTAGCGCTTATCACGCTGCGCTGACCATGCAACGCTTGCACGGAAAAGCGAGTGTTTCCAACGCTTTACTAAGACGAGACGGTAGTGGCACCTACCCGTCGCCTTGTGGTCTACACCTTATAACCTCTGAGATGGGCGCGCACACTCGACTCAAAGCCACGCGCTTTGTTTTCTAAGAAAACCCCCAGATGGCACTCATGTCTCACGTGTGACGTGACTTGATGCATTCGTTCGCCTCCACTGCCCGCTCGAGGCACTCTAACGCAGCGTCTCCAGAATACCATTCACCAACATTCTTGCGCAGAACATCAAATAAATGTCTTGTTCACTCTCTCCGCCCGAAAGACTGTCGTCTTTCGATGACATTTGCAGATTAACATGTGGATACGGGGCCAATTTTTTTTCTGCATACCATTGGGAGTTTCACCAACACTGCTGACATTCGCCCCTTGCAGCGTCATCTGAACTAAAAGAAACAAATCAATAAATAAGAAATAGGAGTGTAAACCTCTTCTTCAGAAAACATGCCGCAGACGCAATGACATGGGCGATATTGTAATGTAAATATTTCAGGAACCTAAAAATGCTCACAAACGAGCAATATTGTTCTGTTATATGCCATATCCGGCTTTCCCTACGGCAAGCATAAGTTTGGTAATAATACTTCTTTTCTTACAACAAATGCGTTCAACTGGTTCTAAACGGGAGTCGTTTCTTAGCAAACATCAATGAACCACTGGAGAAAAGACGTGCGCGGGCTCTTTGTGTGCAATCTTCGAAACACGTTATGACATCCTAGCAGCGCGAACAAACAGGACAAAGGACACAAACAAACGCAACTAATTATGCCAACACTTTAATAACTGCCCAATGGATGCGGTTTATTGAAATTCATTGTCTCGCACCGGGCTATATACCAGACAGACTGAATGCTGCGTGAATGTGCGCTTTTGAGTACATTACAACGCGCTAACGCCAGCGCCTACAGTTTGCATTTGTCTGAACATTGCGCAAACC